GCCCCTGGTCATAAGGTAATTGAGAAATGTAATAAGAAGCACTCAGAGGTATCAAAGGATGACCTTGTCCCCTACCAGCTCTTCAGGGGTCACGTCAAAAGAAAGGTGCCAGGGTAAGTAAAAAGAAGGAGAACCCAACGTCTTCATGTTGACTTCAAGAAAGGGCTGAAGGACACACAGAAGCTTCCAGTTTACAAGACAGATACATCTTAACTCAAAAACACCAAACCGGGACAAACACGCGGCTGTAAGATTAAGAGGGATTGAGTGGACACGACTTCCCACTCTCCCACGCCTGCACCCAATACTGATCATCCTTGGGGCCCCAAGCAGTGAGACTCTGGGAAGAAGGAATGGAAGAGTTGACTGAATACCCAAGGCTGATGCCGCTCACCCCATGCTCCCCACCTCGGATCTAGTGTCCTGGGTTGTGAAGAGGCAATCCTGATATTGGGGCTGAGATTGTGGGAGAAACCTACAGAAACAGAGGCTTGTAGTTTGTTCCCAGAAGAGGTAGGAATCATGCACACGTGTTCTCTGCATAGGATGGGAAAGGCTGTGGGAAGCTCCATAGAGAGACATGAGACTCTGGTCTTCATCATGGCTTCCTTGATGCCCAAGCACCACCAAAGGACTGCCTGATATAATCTGTACCCTTGAATAGGGTCATAGAACTAGTAAGTACAGAGGCATATGCCAGAGAAGAGAGGATTCCATATGACATTAGTCAATATGGCGCTGGGGGGGTCATGGATGTAACCTCAGATAGCCCTCACTCAGCCTGGCAGGAATAAACATTGGTCACCAACTAACCCAGATGGGTTAACGCCAAAGAACGACAAGTTGTATTCGGAAGTGCCAATGACAATACTGCAGTTCAGAAGCCCTCTCCTGCTTACTTCCTATAGTTTAGAGTCAAGGCTGACTTAACTGAATATACCTGGCAGTGACCCCAGTATGTTCTCTCTCAGAAGACCTGCAGGTTCAAAAGAAGAATAGTGTTGAAAACAGACCATTAGCAATGCCGCTTGATAACGTTACCACAGCTAGGACACGCTGGTATCTGTGAGACTATAAAACATGATTTCTTTGAGGATCAAGAGCATTTCTGCCTCAGGCCAGAGCCATAAGGTCATTACAGACAAAGACTTCCTGGAGATGCCACATCTACTGCCTACTGCTTCTGACGGGCGCCATGACAGGTAGCAGAAGGTGGCTGGGGCTCATCCTTTCTCTTCTGTCCCCTCCCTGAAGCTCAGCTGTCACCTGGGACCTGCCCTTCACTTCTGACCTCTCCCTGACAATCATCCTTCCTCTTCCTTCCAGCTGCCACAAGCTCAGTGCAGCTCACGTCACCCTGAGAGTTTCATCCAAAGAACCACCGGTCCAAAGGGAAGACAAACCTTCCCTTGATCAGATGCGGGTCAAGCATTGTTACTATAGATGTAATATGATGACCCTAGGGGGTTGTCAAAGCTCTTCTCACCCATCTGTGATGCTGTCTTTTGAGAAAACACCAATTAAATCCATATTAAGTCATTAATCATTCCATCTGAGAAGGGGGTGATACTCTCCCTTCATTAGGACAATGTTAGATGCAGTAATCAAACAGCACCCCGTCTCTGGTCCTGCTGTTGGCATCTGGTTTCTGCTTCACTCCATGCTTAGATGAAAATTCTGACCGAATTTGGACCTTAGAAATGGGATCGTTAGCATAGAAGGTCAGACTCAGAGTCCCAGGGGAAGAGCTTACTCCGAGTGTGAGTTACTGATAGGAACAGGAACACTCGGGGCTTCCAAGGTAATGTTTCTTAGACAATTTTCGGATGGCCTCAGGAACTGAATAAATATTTTCCAGGAGCCATTTCAGCCCAGGGGCAAAGTTTTGAGGGGAAACAGGCATGTCATCTGCAAGGCACTGATGTGGGTACATGATGCTGGTTGTTTGGGGATACTGTTGATATGATTTTTTAATGTTCGCTTGCCTGCTGTGCTAAGATGAACTTTGTGCTTTTCCGAATTGTCCTTCACCATTAACAAGCTTTCCCAAATCTCATCCTCACTTAGACAACAGCCTCGTCCTCACCAGCCTTCCAGAATGCAGGCATGGCATTCTTTGGCCCCTAATCTCTTGTTTAATGGTGAGACACTTGCATAGGTTCATGAAGAACATGTTTTACTTTTTACCAGTGAGTATTTACCTAAGTTGAGGACACAGCCATACCTGGAGGTCATGCTTAAGAAAGATGCCTGTCTTCAGCCGTGAAGACCATTATAAAGAACATGAGGTTTCTTCACTGGAGAGATGAAAAAGTCTGCCTGAAAATGGGGCTGTGTTACTTCAATATAAGGAGTGTGTAAACCATGGCAAGTCTGGTGGCCCTTGAGAAGCAATGGTTTCACCTCATCAATGGATACCAGAGGCAAAGCAACAGAGGACTTCTTGGTTTAGTTTCCTTTCCTCAGAATAAAGGGGCAAAGAAAAGAAACAAACAGGAAATCTAGAAGTATATGGAATCTAGAATAGCATGGGATCTAGAATAGTATGGAATGCAGAATAGCATGGAATATCAGAATACCACAGAATCTAGAATAGTGTGGAATGCTGACTAACATGGAAGGCAGAATAACATGGAATATAGAATAGCATGGGATGAAGAATAGCATGGAATCTAGAACAGTATGGAATCTAGAACAGTGTGGAATCTAGAACAGTGTGAAATTCAGAATAACATGGAATACAGAATAGCATGGAATGCAGAATAACATGTGTTGTAGGAAATATTTAATCTCAATCTGAGGTTTTAACCTCACCTTTGATCATTCAGTTTCCAGATAAAAGATACCAACTTTTATATTTATAATAAGTCTTAATAAGCACTAGAGTTGGACAGGCATCTACCCTCTACACTATTAGTTTTTAACTCCCTATCAATAACCCCAAATTATAACTTGCCATGTCCCACGTGGGCTGCTCAGTGATAACTTGGGGGACAAGGTTACATAGTATCAATCAGGTCTATGCGTGAATTCCCTTATCCCTGGGGGTCAACCAGACTTTGGGGGCCAGTATTTAGCATTACAATATATAACAAACAAGACCAAGCCTCAACAAGCATGGAATCTAGAATAGCATGGAATGTAGAATAGAATGGAATAGGATGGAATGAAGGATAGCATGGAATCTAGAATAGCACGGGATCTAGAATAGCATGGGATCTAGAATAGCATGGGATCTAGAATA